TAGTCAGCCGCTGGTCAGTTTCAGCAGCGGCTGAATCTGGACGCCAGATTCAACTTAAGAACAAACCTACAGTCCCTATCTTGTACGTAACCCAGGGACTGCCTGTAATTACTTAAGTATACCATTTCAGCTAACCAGGGAAGCAGAAAATTGACATTTATTAAATTGTGTTATTTCTGAAAGCCCCATGCTCAAAATCAGCACACGGAAGAAATGTTGGGAGAAACACTGACCTTATGCAAGGCAGATGCACAGCATGAGTAAGTGCATCCCAAAGAGGAGGGACAGGAGAAAGGCCAGTCATGATTCTTCTCCCTCTGTAGCAGCCATCGCAGGAGCACTGCTTTCTTAGGCTGATTGTGCTGCCATTGCAGCCTGGGAATCGTGGGAGGAATTCTTGCCATTGGTCAGAATTCCTCCTGGGATTCTTATGACAAAGCAGCCTCCCTGCATACTTGGGCTTGAACCCGATGTAGCCTGGCCACAGTGATTCTGGAATAAAGCCCAGGTTTGTAGGCCTGTGCTGCCCAATCCAGTACCTTAAGGTCCGTGGGTGTCTTTTGTTTACTTCAGTGGGCATGCTTTTAGTCTTGTGCCTTAACCCTGATCACTGCTAGAATGAGTCACACACAAGTCAGCCGCTGTTTATTAGCTGGAAATGATAGCATTACTTGGTTTGTACATGCCTCGGGGGGGAGGGGGATGATTTCTCAAGAGAGAAATCTCTGAATGTACCTCTGATTCCCTTGCATGATTTTTCTCTCCCTGTCACCTATGCACTGCGGGGTCCTTTGAAGCCAGTGGGTGTACTCGCATGCGTAAAGAGTATTGTCGTGAGTAAAGCCTGCAGACTTGGGCTATTAGTTGGGTTACCTGTGGGAGAACAAATAAGGAATCTCACCCTCTCTCTGTCAGGTTAAGTGTATTGCTGTCAAAAAGCTATAATGTTGTGGCTTCAAAATTGAGAGGGATGATAAATAATTACAGTTGAAGAATGATGAAAGGCAAAATTACTGCAGCCGCCATTGTTTCTAATGAACGGAGTGTCTATTCCTTTGGTTTCCAAGCCGCTCTTTGTTCTGGCTGTTGTAGGTAAAGAAGAAAAGGAGAATGGAACTGAGAGGACCTGTGACACTCTGCTAATGTGCATCGTTACAGTGTTAAACCAAGGCCTGAGAAATGGCGGTGGTGTGGGGGATGTGCTAAGAAAACCTTCCAAAGACGTAAGCATTTGCCTAACAGAATGCAGCATATTTTCTCGGGTGCCTTGTGAGTGCCGAAACCCACTTGTACAGGAGAGAGGAAATATTTTACCTAGTTATCTCGAATGTCACGCTGCTGACTTATCCACTGTAATTTTAATATACCAGATGGAGTGCTTAACGAGAAGGCGAAAACTCAGTGCAGTGATCTTACATGAAGAAGGGAATTCCAGATGCTAGTTACCTTTCTGGAAAGCTGGGGCATATTATTACCCTCCAAGCAGCGCTAAGATGTATTTCCAGATTGGATCAGTTTACAACAGGAATCAAATACAAACCTTTGAATAGGGCTGATTGATGCATATGTGTCAGGACTCATGGTTGTAGTATATCAGGTTTATAGTTAGCTGAGATTGCATTGGAATAGAGCCTATTATTTACTCATATTAAGCAACACACACTACTAGCATTGAAGGAAAAAAAGAATTTCAAATATACCAATAAACTTCCAAAAATTAAAAAAAAAAGGGGGAGGGGGGGACTTGCTGTAGTTTCAATGCACTACGTTTAAAATAACTTCACCAAAATTACTTTTTTTGTTCAGAACACACAGTATGTGCCAGGACACCATAACCGCCCCATGGCTGGTGCTCTGCACAGCAAATCACAGGATGAAAGTGAAATGATTCCTTTCTAACCAAACAGTACGGGACTCAGAGTGCGGCAGAGATAGAGCACTCAGCTTTTGGGGGAAACAGCTTCTGTTCCTAGTTGCTTAGGTCCTGATACGTAGCTCAGTGGAGCCAGTGGGAACCTTTCCACTGACATGCATGAGCTTTGGAAAAGGCCTGTGATACGTAGCTATTATAGAACATTGATTGCGTTAAAGCACTTCACAAAAGAGCAAATCATTATTGCCGTCTCACATGTGAGGCACAGGTAGGTTAAATGACTTGCACAAGTTCATACAGTGAGGAATAGGACCCAAGTTTTATGACTGCCAGTCCTGAGCCTTCTCTGCTGGCCCACACTGCCTCCTGCCTGGTCATGTAGAGGGCATTATGGTTCTCTTAAGAACCCAACCCAGCCATGTTCAGAAGGCAGATTATTGCAACATGGAGCCACGAAATTGCAGGAAGGTGGGGAATGTTAGCACCAATAGAGAACTACAGAAAATTCAAAGAGGAGAGGGGTAATAACAGCCGTTATTTCGAATTAACTTTAATAGCGTCCATACATGCCAGCCACTATTTCCAAATTAATTCGAAATAGTGGCGCGCTTAATTTGAATTTGGTAAACCTCATTCTACGAGAAGTAACGCCAAATTCGAAATAGCATTAAGTGCTGTGGAGACACTTCATTCGAAATAGGGGGCCTCTAGCCCTTCCCAGGGAGCCCGGTGGCCACTCTGGGCACAACCAGGAAAACTTACTCTCCTTTCCCCCAGCCCCAGAGCCATTAAAGGGGTAGACCCTGGCCACAGTGGCCACCAGGGCCCTTGACCCAGTGGCCCCAAAACATGAGCCAGCCAGCGACTGGCAGCCAGCCCTCCACCGCTCCCCAGGAGCAGTCTGCCAGCTCCCAGGAGCCTGCCAGGGGCTGGAGAAGGCGGGCGCCTTCCTGGTTTAGGGTGGAGATCATGGACCTTATTCAGGTTTGGGGGGGATGCCCCCAACATTCATGATCTCCATACTAGACAGAGGAACATGGCCGTCTATGGCAGGGTAGCTGCCCGCCTGGGCACCAAAGGGCCCCACCGAA